GCATTCCTCAGTACCATGCGCTTCAATTTCCAAGGTGAGTGCTGTGACCTCTGCTCTGCCTCTTCCCCCACAGGCGCCTGGTGGAGCGGCTGGAGAACATGAGGAAGAACGTGATGGGGAACGGCCTCTCGCAGTGTCTGCTCTGCGGTGAACTGCTTGGGCTGCTAGGTAGCACGTCGGTCTTTTGTCAGGATTGCAAAAAGGTGGGTTTGGTCACACAGGTTCCTGCCTGTTCCTGGTAGCAGATCTGTCTAGGAAAGGCCACCAGGCCTCTTGGAAGCTGGATAGCTCTGCAGAGTTAACTTACCTTACCCCTGCTTGTCTAGGTCGGTGCTGCCAGACCATCAGGTTTTCTCTTGCACCCTGGTTATCTTACTTCTTAGGATACTAAAGTGCCTAAACTGCACTTAGTGCTGAGATGGGGTGCATCAGCCCCTCTGCATCTCCCGCTCTAGGTTTGCAGAGTGAGAGAAGGAGCAGAATTGTGTGGCCATCAGAGGCAACTCATAAAATAGTCTGTGTGCTTCACTGTTATTTACTGCAAGGTCTGTCCTTAGACCTTCCAGTAACGCCTCTCTTCAGAGGACTCAAGTCCATCTTCAAGTTCCAAACCAGTCTAAGGTTCCCAGCCCTGATACATAAATTAGCCTGTGCATTAATGACTGCCTGTGTTTGTGTATGTTGTTGGCAGGACTGCATGGGTGCTGTTTGAAGGGCAGCATCAGTTTTCAGGGAGACTGCTGTTCTGCTAGTGCCCTGCGGGACGATTGTTGCTTGTCTAGACGCTGCAGCCAAGGGGTTAATCTGTATTGCTGTGGAGATGATGATCTCCAAGGCAACCACCTTATCCTCCCTCTGCTGGGAGGCTGTTTTTCCTGCACTTGAAGCCCGTCTTTCCCTGGGGACATACCTGTGTAAGTGACTTTGCCTCAGCAGGTTGCCTGAGGATAGGTGAGGGTACCTGCTGGGTGCAGGAGTGTTTCTGACTTGCTGGTGGTACGGTGGAAGGAAGCAGCCTGTGCTAACTCTGTGCCTGGTGGGTACTGGAGCCAAGGAGACACTTGCCGATGTCACCCACCCTGTCACTGAGGAGATGTCCAGTGGAGCCTATAAGACAGCACTGAGTAAAACCTGCTCCTTTACTGTGGAGTGCTGCATGTTGGCACCTCTGTGGTTAAGCAGCCATGCAGGCCATGATGGAGAATGTTTTCGTGCTGGCACTGCTGGAGTTTGTGAGATCTAGTTCTCATGCAGAGCGGGCTGCCAGGTTGGGCCTGCACTGGTCCACAGTTGGCTGCAGCACTGCTGGGTTTAGAGCTCTTGTAAGAGAGAGAAAGGAGGTGGGTACCAAGGTCCCAGCATCCATCCATGCATACTTGCTGGGCAGGGAGTTGCTGTGAGCTCTGCTGCCTTTGCTGTCGAGTGAGTTTCTCCGCTGGATCCAGTTTGCAAAACTAGCTTGACTGGGGCAGGAGTTATGCAGGAGATTGCTTGTAAGGCAGTGACTGGGAAAGTAAATGTAAATTTTTGGAACTCTGGGTCCTAAGCCAGGGAGAAAGTAGCTTTTCAGGAAGGAGTGGGGAAGGAAGCAGCAGTAAGGTACTAAGAAGTGACAGGTCTGGTCTGAATGGGAGCTACAGGGCAGCTCTTTTGTAAAGGAGCGTGGGCTCTGTGCACACGTATCTGTGGAGAATAAAGGGCTGGGTGGCAGACAGGAGACGGCTTGCTGTTTCCTGCATTTCAAGCATGTGGAATAACAGGATGTGCTCTATTCATGCGTTCTTCCCTTGGCGATTCTGCTCTCACCTTGTCCAAAGCCAGCTAGGTCACATTGCCACAGTGCTTTCTAACCTCCTTCCTGTGAGCCCTGTACACTAATGAGGAGGCAAAAGCTGGTTCAGAAACTTCCATGCCCTGGGCATTTGCAGTTGCAGGTAGTAAGCCCCCAGCTAGCGAGGCTGCGTGAGCCCAAGGCTCCGGGAGGGCTGTGACCAGAAAACCCCAGAAAAGAGCTGTTTGGTTTTTTGATAGTTACTCCCTTTTTGTCTGGAGTCTGTTGAGCAGTTCAGTAGCATTCATATCCAGGTTGATTTAAGGTGAGACCCTACTTTTCCAGTGTGTGTTTTGCAGCTGCTTTCAGCTTGGCTGCACTTCCCAGCCGTGTGCAGGCTCAGGGCAATGCTGACTGGATGCCCGGGGCTTCTCCCCTTACTGCTTTGTAATGTTGTGGAGTGAATTCAGGGAACAGTCAACACTTTGGCAGAGCGCAGAGAGTGGACTGTTACTTTAAGCTTGTTCCCTCTCATCCAGGGATATCCATCACTCGTGCAGTGCTGTATGCAATAAGCAATGACTTGTCAGGGAATTATGGATTTTTTAAAGTTCATATTTTTCTTGCTAGCGTTGCTCTGTTACCATCTCATTGCAGCCCATTTAATTCAATAACAGGAACTGTTGTTATGATGCATCTGAAATGTAGCAAAGAACTTCAGCAAGTCCCTTTTGCTGAATAGAGGTTCTATATTTCTTACAGCCTGATGGATTTCCTAAATGCCACTTTCTGGTTTATGAAAAATGTTTTTAATATTAGTTTTTTTATTATCTTAGAAATAAATGCATTATGGCAAGACAAAGATATATGCAAATCCAGATTTGTTAACAATACCAGTAGCTAGACAAAGCATAATGTGTCATTTACCATGCGGAGGGTATCAGTATCATGTCTAAAAGGTGAAGTATAAGTAAGAGAAGAAAGTGCTTTATCTTGTATTTAATGAGGAATGGGGCTGCGTTTAATGTCCTTGATTTTTATGTCTTCTTCTGAGGGGTTGTGAGTGATGCTCAATTTTCCATCTAGTCTGCAGGGAAGGGGAGGAGGAAATCCCAGCTTTATATTGGAACTTTCAAAATTTATGGCTAGGGATAAAATTGCTTGGTAACTTCCACTAGAGGGAGTGTTTGAATGTGCTATACATGTGGGGACTGGGATCTTAGAGGAGGGTATTTAAGACTGAGTTGCTCCCTCACATTTCGGTTTGAGGGAGGGAGAATTTGGGGTAGTTCAGGTGGTGTCTTCTGATTGCATCTGCAGTCATCCTTGGCTTGGGTAGCACCAGGTTGAGTATTGATGCACTAGACCCAACGGGTTGTTCCTTATTTCTCTGGGACAATGAGGGCGAGGACAGGAACAGAGAGATGGAGGAGAGCACCAGCCTCTGTGGAGCTGCTGATGCTGCCTCCTGCTTTCTGTGCAATGCGAGTTGGGGACGGACCTCCGGGCTACACTGACCAAAATATTTGGGTGTATTTATTCATGCAATGAAGCCATTGCCTCAGGTACCATCGTTCTGCCGGTCTCCTTCTCCAGGCGTGGACACTGAGGGCTAAGTGAGCCACTGAGCCTTTCATCCCTGGACACAGACCACCTGGCTCAGAGGAGGAGCAGCCTGCTTAGGGGGATATGTAAAACCTTAGCTGGGGAGATTAAATTCGCATGTTTCTCTAAGCAAGGTTTTGCTCTCCAGGGCCCTCTTGTGAGTGGCTTTTGCTCTGTGAGGATCAAAGAATTCATCCAATTTCTCATTCGAGCTGTAAGCCAAGCCTGATACACATCAGCTTCATTATATAATATTAGGTGATTCAGGTTGTAAATGGCTTGTAATGCCACCGAGACATGAAAGTTCCCTTGTGCAGCAATAGAGGCCGTGCGGCGCTATCAGGCATTCTGCTCAGGAAATGTGCATGTAGGCATGGTCGTGCCCGCTTCCTAAGCAGCCACAAATCAATAGCTGCCGAGAGCATGCTGAAATGGAGGGGAAGCCATGGGGTTTAAGACTACATATGTGAGGGAAGGGAGGAGAGGATTTCCAGTCTTGCACAAACTTGCACTTGTTTTGTACTTGGTTACGGCTGCTTTCTATGCCACAGTTATTCCTCTAAATCCTAAAACCTAACAAAAAAACCCAAACACTCTGGAAATATGCCATTGGTCATGGGGTTTGATTTGCTCTGTCCAGTTCTCTTCTCGCCCTGGAGTCAAGAACTCTGCTGTAGATTTGCCTTTGTCTCATGTCCATATAGACGTGAAACAGCTTCCTGTGATCAGTGGCTCTCCAGGATAAATAAGAAAATTGTGCCGTGTTTAATTTTTTAAAGAAAGCAAAGCAGAACTGTTGGGCAGATGCTTCTTGACCTTCTGTCTCCAAAGGGCTATATGGCTGTGGGGAGTTGCTAACACCACCATTTTTTTTTGTTGTTTTTTTTTCTCCTTGCTTCAGAAAGTTTGCACCAAGTGCGGAATAGAAACCTTTGGAGCTCAGAAGCGTCCTCTTTGGTTGTGCAAGATCTGCAGCGAACAGAGAGAGGTAAAATACAGCTGTGGAGAGATGGGGCTCAGCAGTGTGCACCTACCTGCCCAAAGTCTGTGCTGAGTGTACGTGGGCTTTTCCCTGTGCCTGGGCACTGGGAGGGGAGCTTGGGATGGGGTTTGGGAGGCTTGGCTGGGGGCCAGGCAGGCTCAGTGAATACACACAATGGTGACAACTTTAGTTTGTGAGGGAGTGGGGCGGGAAAAAAACACACCAGCCCCTGCAGCCTGTTTTGCTTTGTGGAATTCTTCTAGCTATGATTATAATGAGACTGTTACCTTTTGCTGCGGTACTCTCCCTCCTAGTTCTGTGGCAAATAAACTTGGCTAACACTGGTTCTTTAATACAGCTGGAGAGATCTAGAGCATAGCTGCAGTATTCGTCCCTCTAAAAATAACCAGGATTGCAGATTTTAAGTCTGTTTTCCTCCCTGCCTGCAAAATCCCATAATTTGCCAGTGTGTGAGACTTCTAATGTAGGTATCTAAATTTTTATATCCTTCATCCTTGGCTTTACAATGCAAAAAGTAATGGCCTGCCTCAATTCTTGTCTGCCAGCCAGCATCCAGCAACATCAGGGCTCACTGCTCTACAGTGAAGTGAAGGCAGTGAATTTGTTCTGTGATTACAGAAGGATTTTCACTTGTTCCCATGAATTTATTTTGGGCTTTTGCTTGTGGTCCTTGAACATCAATCCAGTGCAGCTATTTCTGACCACTGCAACCAACTGTGAAACCTGGGTGCTCTGCTAAATCAGTTTCTGAAGTGTAGTGAGAGCATTTGTGCAGGTGTTTTGAGATGCTGAAGGTTTTTTTACACTAGTTGTGGAAACTCAGCATTGCTTTGGTTTTACATAGGTGGGGATTATCTGTGTGGGAGCACTCGCAAAGTTTGTGTTCGAGTAAGATGAGGGGTACATGGGCTGGCCTTTAACTTTTGAGCAGCAGTGTGGGTAGGGCTGGCACAGAGCATTCCAGCTCCTTGAATATTGCTAGTAATCTGGTACACTGAACCATCCAGATATTTTGAATTCCAAATGGAGGTCCTAAAATGGAAAGTGAGACAGGTCAAGATATTTTCTGTGTTCTATAGGGAGGTGGGTATGGGACTAAAGTTGATTTTATTTCTTTTATTCTGTTCTCGCTGTACTTTTTCTCATCCCTCATTGTTTAATTGTGTTTGTTTTTTTTTTTCTATTTCTTATGAAAATAATGAGGAGCCGTGGTCACTGGACAGAGAAGAATATTAACCTGTCCAGTAAGTGTTATGTGCGGCCAGTGTGTGAGGGTACGGTAACCTTCAGAGCTCAGTCTCTCTGTGAAACCTGAGATATGGCCAAAGTGCTTCCCTAATGAAAATGGATGGAACTTTCCCTCTTAGACTAACTAAAAAATAGCCTCATCTTACCTCCCAGCTCTAAGATTAATCTTTATTTTTTTGATTTTCTTTAAGGTCGGTTCAGGTCTGTCTCCTTTCTTGTTTGCAGTGGTGCTGGTGCCCCAACCAGGAGAAGGTTGGAATGGTCACAGTGTGGACATGCAGTCAGGCATCAAGTCATACATCCCCTCTGTCTTCCCACATGCTCTGCTTTTATTTTCGGGGAAGGCAGGGAAGCATTGAGAATTAGCAGAAGCCTTGAGGCATGTCAGCCAGGGCAAAGAAGTTAAGACAATATCAGAATAAATGTCTGGAAAGTGGCTTTGATGAGGTCCTCCCTAAGAGTCTGTGTGAGGAAGAGGTGAGTCTTTCAAGCCTCAGGCTGATGGCTGGTACTAGTGCAGTTCCTGAAGCTGGTTCAGGTGTCATGATATTACAGGGCATGCACTAAATTACCATGTTTCTTTTAAGGGCTTGTGTTCACAACCAGTTCCTTGTTGCCATCTGTTTCTGTGATCTGGATCTGTCTTGTATTGCCATCTGCTCTGGACCAAACCCATTTGGCCATGCTCTTTGCTGAAGGTTATATTTGCTATCAATGAGTACAGATGGATGTCTGCTCTTTGGGATCAGATATTCTCATTTCTGTCTCACCTGCACAGTGAGTAGGTATCAGGCCCATTTTATTTCCTGGAATCAAGGCAGGGGGCTTCAGGAACCCACTGAGGCACTTTGGGTTGTGTGATGCAGTAACCAGCCAATACCACCCTTCTCAATGCACAGCATGACTGAGCAAGGTTGTTCTTTAGCCCATGCCAACGAAGCACGTGCTTAAAGTAGGCTTGTCCCAGGCCACGGATCTCTGGCAACACTTCCCAATTTGTCGAATCATGCTCAGGTCCCTAAACTTTGCCAGCTCTAGTGGGTGAGCGTTTGATGCTGGTCTGGAGTGTACCCCCCAGCAGCTGTCATGAGATGTAGTGTTTCCAAGCTAGGTGATTCCCTCCACATCAGCGCTTTGATCTCCGTCTGTAATTTTCTGAACCACCGCTCAAGCTATTTGGGCATGATATTTATGAAGCTCTCAACTCTGTTAGTGAGAGACTGTTAGGCACTGAAGCGAGAAAGGGAGGTCATTCGGAAACCTGGATGAACTAAATGATGTTGGCTGGAGTTAATAAGTGTCATCTGGCTGGGACAAGAGCCTAGGACTATAATTGTCCCCTTTAGCCTCTGCCACGGACTGAGTGAGCATGTGAGTCTTGTCACCTACTAGGACCTGAAGCCAGGATGGTGGAGTTGGATGTTCACGTATACCAGCTAACATCTGAAGTGTGCAGCATTGTGCATACATGCTAAAGCTTTCATCGCTCCATTTTCCTTGTTGTTATTTATCCCTATAGGTTTGATTTAAGCTAGTGTAAGTTTGGTGATGTGTGGCAGTCATCTTCCACCTTTTGCTGTGTGGACAGAATCTATGCTGGCTTCAGTTATGATTAAATCATCAGTATGCCTGGGTCAAAATGAAGACCAGAGTAACAATCTATTGTTTACATCAGTCTTTCAGTTGGAGTCAAATGTTTGATGCCCATGGATCCCCTTGGGAATCCCAGCTTCAGCCATTCAAAAGTGTTCTTTGCTGCTCTCTGTTTCCTTGAAAACCTCCACTGGGAAGGCTGTGCTGCATAGCAATGAGGAACAAGTTGCTCTGACACTGGTTTATTTCTGGAGAGTGGAGGTGATTAATGGATTCTGCCTGCTGCTTGCGTCCCAATCATCCAGAAGCAAAACAGCGTGTACAGCAGCACTTGAGTTGCTGAGCGTGATGTGTACGCATGCAGGGTGAGGGTCTCTGAGCTGCCAGAGAAGCACTGGGAGGAAAGTACTGTGTTCTAATATGGCCGGGCTCTGACAAGAGCCTGGATGTTCCTGCTGGCAAAGAGAACATCCCCGAGGACCAGCAGACACCCCTGCATCACAGGTCCATCTCTTCTTCCCGAAATAAGATAGACCTCATCTGCTTAGGGCCAGAACTAGCTGGCTGGAGATACCACTTGTCCCAGCTGTTTGCAGAAGCATCTACTGAAAACCCCCTTTTCTTCTTCCAGGATTCTGTGGGCGTTTTCCTTTGCTATGTCTTCTGAGGGTGGTGGAATTAAAGCAGGTGTGGATCACGTTTTATTGTTCCTGCAAGCAAGGGTAGAAGGAAATTCAGTCAAGCTCACATTCACTTTCGAGGGCAAGAATCTCGCTTCCTTCTTACCTGCTCCATGTGCTGCATTGCCTTTCTTGGCTTTGCATCTTGCATCGCCTTTCTGGAGACTTGAGTGTGGAGGCTGATCCTTCTTGGAGCAGTCCTGTTCCTCCATGTGTATGAAGTCCTGATGCTGATTCCTGATTGCAGCAAATGTTGTCCAGAGGTTTGCAATGAGCCTGTTTGCTAACGTAGCAGTGATGCACCCATGGGAATGAGCGTGCTGGGCAGAAAGGGAGCAAGTCCTCCAGCAAAATGGGCTTATTTCAGCGGCTGTCAGAGGAACAAAACTGCCTGGGAGGAGCTGTGATGGGCACATATACAGCTGGAATGATTCCCTGCTGCCAGGCCCCCGGCAGAGCACGTGAGCTTAATAACAGCTTGGGCAGCAATGCCTATGTTGAATTAGTTGCGTGTGGCTGAAGTCTGCCTGTCACCTCCTGGCCTGAAGGGGAAATGGGACCTGCTGTGTTTTGTCAAATCCCTGCCCAGCCGTTTAACTCTCTGCACAGCCTTGTTTTGACTGATACCACCAGGTTCTGCAAAGCACCTTTCTGAATTACCACTTTATATATATTTTTTTATATCCATAATTAGCGATGCTATCATCGTAATTAAAATCCTCTTGGAAACGTTGGTGCACATTTACATTTGAATTGACACATCCAAAATTGTAGTGATAATGAAAACAGTTTAAGCAGGGTGGGGGGAGATTGCTTTTTTTAAACCCCATGGAATATGAAAGAGAGTGTCAGCTATCAGGGACCTGTTAAAGTTTTAATTTGCCCCCTCTGCTTCCCTTTCCCTTTAATTTCTTCTCCCTCACTAAACAGCGTTTTCATGGCTGGCTGCATTTCTTGGTTTATCACAATAAACCATGCAGAGGAAGAAGATTACTGCGCTGGAGGAAAGGAGTTGTCTCCTGCCCTTTTGCCCCCAGGGCTTTCCTGTTCATATATACATTCATACCATTTTGAACATTATAAACCAACATAGCCTAGGGTTATTCCTGCCTGGCATGATGATTTCTTGGCAAAATACCATACTGATGGAGGGGAGTGTTTATTTTGGGTGACTCTGGATTGAATTGAAGTGATGTGCACCTGTTTGCAATTCAAAGAACTCATCAATAGTCTGCCATATTATTTTGGGGGGTGGTAGCAAGCGGTTAGACTCAAAATAGTGTCCTCTAGAATAGAGCCACGGGCGAAAAAAGAGGCCTGATTGAGAGGGGAATGATAAATCGTTGAAGGTTGGCAGCCGTTGCAGCTTGAGAAACGTTGGGGTCAGAGGTACGATAGATTTTGCTATTCCGGAAACAAAGCTCCGAATAGCAATTTCACTGCCTTTTAATTTTCTTCATCCTCAAGTGCTGAATGTGGGAGTTGACAACAGATTGCTGTAAATAATGTAATTGGAAATCTCTGTGTTATGGAAAAGCAGATGAATGCAAATAACGAAGCTGAAGAGCGCTTGCTCTTTCTCCTTGCCAGTGGTTTGCAGCGTGCCAGAGCCGTGGTGGAGAGCTGGGACAAAGTAAATGTGTGGGCATGTGCTGTGTGAGGGCAATGGCAACGAAGTCCTCCCAGGGTGGTTGCATTTGCAGGTGCCTTTCTCTTCATTAAGCATTGTAGCCCACGAGAACCTGCTCCCCCGCCTTTTGGCTGCCGGGGGATTGAGCCAATAAGGCCGGTGTCAGCATGGGAAGCTCAAGGTAGCTGTTTTCCTCTTGCACAACCCGGTCCGGGCTGCAGAATGAGAACAGCTATTGCGTGGCAAGCAGCAGGTGGTAGAGCAAAATGTGGCTTTGCAGCGAAAAGCTTTTCTAAGCATCCCTCTATAGGGGACTTGTGGCTTGGTGAAGTGAACTCTGGGTGGACTGCAAGTGTTTTTTATGATTACTTCAGCTGTGATTCCATCCGTTCGTCAGCAAGTCCTAAAGATTTCTCTGTTTAGGAGCTTGTTTTAGCACTTCTAGGTTCAGAGAAGGAGAAAGAGGAGGGAGAAGTTTGAGCAGTAAGACACGTTTCACCAGGGCCTAGTGATACTCCTTTAGGTCCCATTTACAGGCTGCTTTTGAATGTGCTAGATAAAGATATGTGTCTGCTTCTGACTGTCTCATCCTGTAGTTGTAATGATGGCTTGATGCAACTTTAATAGGAATATTATCAAGGTTATAAAAGGTATTGAACTCTCTGGACTCGTCTCAGCCATGGCTGTTGAATTGGTTTGAGGTAATAAAAAAAGGAGTCTGTTACTAAAGTAGCTCTTCTCCCCTGTGTCTTCCCCCACTTTGCTTTAGGGTAGTTTAGGTCTCAGGGGAGGCAGAAGGACAGGAGCCTGCAGGAAGTCAATATTTAGCACAGATTTTGGCTGCGTTTGGCTGGGCCAGTTTGAGTCGAGTGGTGTGGCTGCTCTGTCCTGAGCCACATGCTGGGCCACCGCACCCTGATCTGGGGTAATGTAAAGATACAGGTCTTTATTCCCTTCTGTCAAGCACTCAAAGCAAGAGATAATCAATGTTATCTAAAATTGGGTTGTTGCAAGAGACTGGCAGTGCTGGCTGTCCCTCTTGCCGATGAAATTCCAGCTCCACCCAAAGTCAGGCTGCTCTGGGGGCAGGATTTCACCTTATGTGCCAACAGGACTGGTGGGAGCAAAACTCTCTGCTCCTTGGAAAGAGCAAACTCCTGCTAATGAACAAGAGTTTTATTCTTGAATCACTGTTATAGATTTATTAATTTAAAATCAAGCAAGAACTTTGCTGTCGGGCCATTCTTGGGATCAATGAAACTACCATCAATAGCAGTCAGCAACATCGATTTGTTTTGATGCATGGATGCTAAAACTAACCTGTGTGCGCACGTGCAGAGCAATGTGAGCTGCGGTCTTTTCAGATGGGGCACGCTGCTAACCTGGGGGGAGCAGAGGTACTGAATTAAAATAGGGGAGAGCATCTTGCTTCGGTTATTTTAGAGCTGATCTCACAACAATTTCAATACTGCTGTAATGAGACCAAACTCTATTAGAAGCACCAATTTAAAGTGAATATATATGCATAGAATCAATTTTATACTAGTATTACTACATCAGAGCTGGGTGTATTATAGCATTAACTCTTTCTATAACTGGACTTGCTTTGGGGTAGGGAGAAACCTGGGGGTGACCAGCCTTTTCTTACAGCAATTCTTGCTGTGTCTGATTGGTTTTATGGTGTGCCTAAATTGTAGTTTGCCTGAAGATAATAGGTCTCTTCAGTGCTTCAAATTAAATTACAGATGTTGCAAGGTCTGTTCAGAGAATGACTGTAAGAAAGAGTTGCTTCTTCCCTGGCAGTTTGTGCAGTGAAGCTATATGTGCCGCAGCTACCCGGTGTGTGGCAGCAGATGGACAATCTGCCCGTCTCAAGGCACGGCACTGATCAGGGTGCAAACCCTATGGCTGCAGCAGTCCCTCTTCTGCCCGCTGTGTCCTCTGTGTGCAGCTGTGCCCGAGGCCTCCTGCCTTCCTCAGACAAGGGTGACCACGGCTTGCCCAGCAAGCAGCTCCTGCATCGTGTCTGTTTACCGGAGTTGTGGTGGACTAAGCTCTATGTAGAGACATCTGTCCCAGATTTAAAAAGTGCATTGTATTTCCTGATTCTTGGTTTTGTGGGGATAGCAGAGCACGTTCCTCCGGGGTCTCTGTGCTGAACTGATGAGTGCCGTTGTACAAGCTGTACCAAATGCTGCATAGTCCCTATGAGCTAGCAGACAGGACAGAAGAAGCTGTGTCAGCTTGTGCCTTGACTGGCTGGGTCACTGTTTTGGCTGTTTGCATGCTGGTGAAGGAGCTGGTAAAGCGTCCTGCCTGCCAAGCCCCCCTCTGTAGAAGAAGAACTTAGTGTCTTCTCTTCTTTGAGGAATTGGCTTCCAAGCTTTTCACTTGATGGCAGGCTCAATGTCCTGCTGGGCTGTTACCCAGCAGGAAAATATTGGTGTAACTGCAGGGTGCTCTCACCTCCTGGTTTCTAGATCCTGCTGTGGTGCACACGAACATCTCTCTTGCACTCCTACCATAACTGACATGTGTGCTGGGTCACAGCAATGTTCTGCTTCCTTCTGCTGGGTGCTCTTCCTTTAAAAAGCATACTCCCAGGTTGCCCTCTGAATTCAGACTGCCTTCGCTTGGCTTTCAAGAGCCCAAACAGAGATTTTAGTACGCTGTGTTGATGGCTCTGGACTAGGAACCAGGCAACCTGCTGAGCAATCTCCTCTCATCAGTGAAATAGTGATGGTGGTGTCTTGCTTTTTGTGCTGGCATGAGAACTTCTCATGAGAGCCAGGTGTTGTCACTGCCCTCTGCTTTGATTAAGCCCTAAATGCAAATTGCAAACTTATTGCTGTAATAAGGGTTATCTGCATTTGCACCCATTGCCATCATGGTGATACTTTACGCAAAATGCCTTGGGAACTTGGAGTGGAAACACTTCTCCTTCATTCTGAACAGAATTGCAAGGTTTCTACCCCCATACATGAAATAGAAAATGGTATTTTTACTATATTAACTTATTTTTGCCCTGGCTGTCTCATTAGCTCATTATTAGACTGCTGGAAGGCACAAAAGAATTAGGTTTTTAGAGGCCATTTCTCCTTGTCTAAGCTGCCATCCTTTTCCCCTCCTCTGGCTCACGGCAGGCTTTATATTAAATATACTTAATAGAGCTCCTTCATCATAAGCTGCATTAAAGCTAAATTGGAGAGTAGAGGGCGTTCTTATAGGAGATATTGCAGTTTAGCGCTCACAGTCTATTTCCTGCTGCAGGTTCAGGTTATTTGAGTGTCGTTCTTGTCGTTCTGGGGTTTTCAAGCACACTCGTTAAATGATCGGGCTTGGCCTGAATTGCTCTGTGAAATGAACACCAAGGTTGTGCCATTCAGTACGGCAGGAGGTGGCATTTCTGCTGTCCTGGCATTGCTGCCTGCATCCCTCAGTTGCTGCCAGTCTTTGACTCTCTCGGAAGTAAAGCGGCCCAGGCTGAGGGACCTGGTGCAGGAGGAGAGACTTGTCAAGACTTGCTGCCCCTCCAGCCAGTACAAGACTTGTTTTGCTCTAAGCAAAGCACGTGCTTGGGGCTGTTCCCACCCATGGCACGTGCCTGCTTTCTCCAGGAAGCTTTTCTTTTTGTGCGTTCCCAATGGGAAAGCAACAGATGCAGAATCTGAACTGCCTGCTGCTTAGTACAGGCCAGGGAACTTCATCCCGATATCCTTGTAGTAAGCCTGGGAATATGCATTTGACTCAAGCACGTTATCAGAAAAACATCTAGTTTTGAAGCAGAGAATGTAAGAAGCTCTATGGTTTGCACTATTACCTTCTGCTCCTCCTTCAGTCTGTGCCTGTTGTTCGTTCAAATTTGTGATTTTTTTTTAGTGATGGAAGAAGGACTGAGGTTAAGCTGGGCTGACAATGTGTGGGGAGGAATTTGGGGTGCTGTGGTAGTTGCAGAGGGCACAGTAACCGTTTCGGTCTGTGAGCTGGAAGCCTTGACCCTCCCCATGTTTGAATGGGGTCAAGGTAGCTCAGAGGGGGTGGCTGAGCCGAGCTTGGTGGGGAGCTTGTTTGGTGCTGTCTGTGATCTCTTGCTGTAAAACCCCAGGCTTAAGGTATTGTGTCTCTGTCTCTAACAGGTTTGGAAGAGGTCTGGTGCGTGGTTCTACAAAGGGCTGCCCAAGTACATCACACCTTTGAAGAGCAGCAGCAAATCCGGTGAGCTGCGAGTGCAGCCTTGGCTAAGCGAGCCAGCCATGCCGGAGGCAGAGAGCGTCGGGACCAGCCGATCCTTCACCTGGGCCAGGGGAAAAGGTTGGTTGTCTGCTCCATGCCCAGGAAGAAGGTGGGGAGAAGGATCTGGCTTCTGCTGTTTCTAGCAGGATTCAGCTAATAGGGAAGGCTCTCTGTCAGAGGTAAGGGATAGCCCATAAGATGTAGTGTGTTACCCATGTGGGCGATGTTGGGGTTTTTATGCTATGGTAGGTTTTTCAGGTTTTATTGTTATTTCAAGTTCACATTGGTGGCCCAGACTAGCCCCGGTCCTCCTAGACTCCCTGCAGCCCCCACTGTTTTGCTGGAACTGCCAAGGGAGAGACAAGCCGTGAAGGAGACACCTCTCTGCAGTCGAAGCCCAAAGAGCTCCGCCTGCTGAATGACATAGGATGGTGCCACTGATGGACATCATGCAGCCAAGGCTGACAAAATGCTGTCCTCATTCCCTCCCTCCTTGGGGCTGCTTGCTCTTTACTTCCGCAGCTCTACAGAGCACCATTGGGCAGATACCTCAGGTCACTTTAAGCTGGCTTAGAAATTACACTGCCAGCATCTCCCTGGGGTCTTCCTGGGATCTGGAGCAAGTGGGCAGAGGTACTGTATTCTTTTACAGTCAGCGGGCAGGAGTGAGCTGATGCTGTGTCCTTGTGTGCCTGAGCCCCCTGAGCAGGTGAGGCTGGCAAAGGGTGAAGCTCCTTCCCCAGGCCCTGGGGAGGGGGCTGAGGTTTGCAGCATGGAGAGCTCAAGGCTGAGTTGTTCTTTAAATGTGTCTCAGAGAAACTGTTGATTAACTTAGCCCTGTGCAGGGCTGGGGCCAGAGCACTGACAAGCCTGAAGATTTATTAGCTTCAGCCCTCGTATCCCTGTTCTTTGAGGTAGACCTTGATTGAAGTAGACCGTTGTATCACATGTGGCATCTTGGATCACTGTCACATCAGATCCCATTCACAGCACTGCCTTGTAGGGCTTTTTTTCCCCCCTCTCCTCCATCTGCCCACCCTGTCATTGTTTGCCCACTCCAGAGCTGTTCCTAGAGCCATGTGGGGGGAAACAACACCTCAGCATTGAGGAGCTGAGCACTCAGGGTCATTAGCACAGCAGTGGATAGATGCTGCAGAATTAAAGCTGCTGGCAGTCTGCTTGGATTTCTCTTAATTTCTTGCTGGTGTGGATGAGCAGAACTTTCTGGCCTCTCTCCTCTTCTGTCTTTTGCTATTAGATTCCCTCAGTTGGAGAAGACCTCTTCAGCGTACCAGCAGCATACACTCTTCCACATCAAGATAAATCTTATTAGTAGTGCAGGGGGAAATAACCTTTTAATAAAGAGGACTCAGGAGAGTTGGGTTTACAAACCTTCACTTCAGGCCCCAGCTAGGAAAGCACTCCCAGCCCTACTGTAACTTTTGTAATTAAAGACAAATTAGATCAGCAATAGGTGATTGTGCTTCCCTCCAGGAGACACTCGGAAGAAGTTGTCTTAGGAAATGAACTGATTGATGAGGTATTTTCTGTTCACGCGATACAGAAAACATTACAAGTCAAATGTATTTTAGCTCAGTTTTTGTTGTTCTGCTCTTCAAAGGTGTGGTGTACTTGGGCAGCCCTTTGTAGAACCACAATGCTTTTTAGCTCAGTTTTTTAGCTGAGTTTTATTTTGGGAGAAAGCCTCCCCCTAAGTACTAGCAGGACTAGCAAAGGAGCAGGTGGAGGACAGCAAAGTGGCCTTTGGTAAGCTCCGATGTGGGTTTTGCTGCCTTTCTCCCTCTGCACTGATTTTTGACTGGTTGCTGTTTTACAGATTGGATAGTATTAATTTATGGTTTTATTTTCTGGTGCTTTCTTTCCTCATTGCCCTTCTCTGTTAGGCTGCCTGTCCTCTGGACAGCTTTCAATGGGCACTGCAAGCTGTAATTCATCTCTGAAGCTGGGAGCTTGTACATCTCACCCTTCCATTTAACTCTTTTTCACCTGCCAGTGCTGGGACTTCTGCTGTTTGTCATTGGAAACCTCTGCAATGTGCAGGGCAGCTGCCTTCCTCCGTGGAGATGATGTAGCTGTGATATTGCCAGCGTGAATCTGTGACTGGGCCTGGACTGAGCTTTACAAGGCCGTGGCTGACAAGGCAGTCTGCCTTACCTCTGCCTGGCTGATAGCATTTGTCAGCTCACAGCTCGTACGCCCTCATCTGAACACATCCTTTCGGCACTGAGTAAAGCCCTGTTGCTTGTTTGGCAGGATGTTCTCGTGAACGAGCTCTGGCATTTAACGTGCCTGACTCTGACAGGCTGGTCTCAGTGGGGTTTCCGTTATCTTGGCCAGCCGTGTCTAACCCCACCGCTCGCCTCCCGAGGTGCTGAAGGAGCTGTCTCTCAGCTATTAAGGGATTCAAGTCAGGTGGGACCAGCACCGGCACAGCCATGTCCCGGCACAGCTCCCGGAGAGCCTGGGAAAGAGGAGCCACGGTTGTCCTTTTGACATCCTTCATGCCAGGAGCTGCCTTTCAGCAGGGATGGGACAAACCTCATGTCCCTTTTTTCCCCTCAAAAGGAACTGCCAGCCCCTGATTACTGGCCACTCCTGCTGCTGGAAGGTGGGAAGGCAGTGGGACTGAGGGACCGCAGGAACGTGCCTCTTGGAAGAAAAGCCAAACCCACCAGGAAGAAGTTTTATTTTTACACACCCATTATTTCTCTTGCGCTGACTGACACTGGGATTTGCCGTTGCCTTTAGTTTTTCTGTAATAAACAAGCAGTTGCCATGGGAACCCTGCTATTAGTTAAGGCACAAATGTATTGTCATGGGGAGAATAGCAGTAATATTTCTCGTGCTGGGGAGCAGCTCTGCTCCATGTGGTGGAATGTGGGTGGGTTTCTGCACTGGGTCAGGCAGGACGGGGCCATCAGGGGGTGGGGAGCAATAAGCAGCAGGGCTTTCCTTCTTCCGAACTCTGAGTTCTGAAGAAAAAAATGTAAAGCATCTGGGTGGAAAAGAGAAGTGTGATCCCTGAGCTATTGCACTGTTTGGCATGAGGGCTGCCTGCTGCTCTGCTTGGTCTCCGGTGGTTTCTCCTGTTGCAATGTGTTCTAGTCCTGTTGCCAAGCAATGCGACGTGCTGGGCTCGGCGCTGTCGGAGGCATGGGAGCAGTGGCTGGGCAGGGGGATGCAGAGGCTTCATCCAGCGTCTGTGTGCTTGAGGCCAAATCCAGGAGTGATGGAGCAGAGAGAAGCGTGCTGGGGCACATCAGACGCTTTGCAGGCCACCGAGGGGGTCATCCAACTTCTCTACAACTTTGGGCAGTGCTGAAACTGCACGTGTGCTGCTTCTGAAAGGGAGAGCACTTGGGCCCGGTCCCCTCCTCCTGCTTGGAGATGTCCCTGCAACTGCAGGCAGTGCTGGGTGTGATCTAGTGTAGCACTCAGTGAGACACTTGGCTTGTAATAAAAATCTTTATCTCCCACCCGCAGTGACCAGGAGCTGTCAGCCTCCCCACTTCCCAGAGGTTGTGTTTGCAAAGGCTGATGATACGGGTGCTGCAGGGGAGCGGTGTGCTCAAGGGCTCGTGCTCAGCCTGCTCATCCAGCGCATCTTGGTTGCGCTGAGCATGTGCGGCTGTTTGGAGCTGTTGCTGCAGGGTGCCCCTGTGCTTTTTCTGTATTTTGTGGCAGCTGCAAGAAGTGCCAAGTTTTGTGTGTGCAGGGACTGAGCTCTGCCCTACGATGGGCAGTGTGAGGGAGCGTGGCTGGCTCTTCCTATTGCAGGTGTGCCCGTGCCAAGCGCACGCATTTAATATTAAAGCTCAAGCCCAGCCAAGTGCTCCTTTCCCCTTTGCCTCAGCACTGCCTCCCCACATCCTCTGCTGCTGGGGTTAAGTGCAGCCCTGCAGCTCTCCACCATTCCCTGTGGCTCTGCGTGCTATGAGGGTCTGGGACCTCTGGCTTGGAGGGTGAACCATGTGTCAGAGGGATTGTAGGCTCTGGCAGCAGCCACGGGGGTTCAGGCCCTCCATGAGTGACCCATTCCCTATGGAAATACTGCTTTTCTTGCAAGTTTTATTTTGCCATATTTTTTTATGAGCTTTTTTCAGTCAGCTGGAGATGGAGAGGATAAATCTGGTATGTTCTCTGAAAGTACAGCTGTCCAACGACTCTTATTGATATATCAGCAACTGCTGGAACACCAGATTTACGACTTCTGGGCTCTGGAAAGTGCCAGCAGAAGCTCTGGGAGCTTTGGGAGAAAAAATACCTTAAAGGGAATCATTGGTGCAATGGGTAAAATACACTCTTATTGGCGGCAGAGGAAATGATAGCAGATAGGGCTACTCCTGCAGTGTGAATGCCTTCATGTCATTAATATTTTCCTCCTCTGTGCTGGTGCTCTCTGAACTGCTGAATGGCAGAAGGGAAGGCAGCTAAAGTCACCACCACTGATTCACTGGGGCCTTTTCCAAATAAATCCTAACTTCCAGCATTTTTAAAGGATTCATAGAGAAAGAAGCTGTTCTAAAGCGATGGATTTTATGAATCCAGGAGGCCAAAAAAGGATGAGGACCAAGTGGGACAGGAGTGCATTTCCTGAGGGAATTGGGCAGTGGGATGGTCAGAATGATTCTGAGCTGAGATTTGGATTTTGTAGCAAAGAGCCTGGAACGTACGGGTTGTTATTAACAGGATTTATATATAGTCCCCCACCCCTCCCAGGGAGCTTTGGGGAGGTAGTGAAGCTGTCTCTAAGACGGCAAAGCCCAAAGCCAAACCTTTGCTTTGAGGGCTCTTAGCCAGAAGTGCAGCCCCCCTGCTTATAATGAGGCTTCGCGCTCTGCCTGGCTCAGCGCAGCCCCTTTCCCTGCAGGTAAGAGGTCCCATTTCTGATGGTGCCAGGAGGGGAAGGCTGTGGGAGCAGGAGGAGCCGGTGCCCAGGGAAAGGCTGCATGGGCAGTGAGGAGGGGTCCTGGCAGCCTTCCCCCTGCGCAGCGCTTCTCAGCAGCACGGCATGCGTGGGGAGCTGCCTGCCAGGGCAACTTCAATAATGCTTTGCAATAACATTGCCAGCCAACTTTAATATCCTCAGAGATGTTAACTCCAGAAAAGTGCTATTTTAGGTATTATTTTTTTTTTTTTTTAATAAAATACTTTGTGTAGTACAGATCACTGCCTGAATACCGGAGTGTCTGCTGAGGTCCTTGGCAGAAATGTTTGACAGCTTGTGCTTACCTGTGCAAGGGGAGGGATGCCCGTCCTCCTGCCCTGGGCAGTGTTACAGGGTTTGTAGCTCTGAGAACTGCATGTAGTGAATTTTAGGGCTGATACAGCGAGATGAACCGACAGCTCTCTTTGTTACCCTATGGTTGTCACTTTGTAACACCGCATGCACATCCCTCCTGCGCCAGGCAGCACCAAGAGGTTGGGGACTACGAGTCACGCGGCACAGCACCAAAGTGGTTTGTTCAGTAACAAAACGTGGAGCTCATTTCTCATGTGAATGTGGGCTTATAACTACGTCATGATGAATATAAAACAATAGTGGGGGCTTCCTTTTTCTACAGTGGAGGCTGTAGGTTGCAGTGTTGCCTACCCTATATTCCACATAAGCCAATATTATACTTACTCCCAAGAATTGTGACCCACGATTTGGAATGGCTTCTGAGCTGCCAGGAGAGCTGGTGTCTGCCTTCATCAGGCGGATAAATGCTGTAGGTGCAATCCCTCAAACAAAAGACAGCTATTTTCCTGTTACCTTCCTCCTCAGCGCCATCACTTCTGTTCTGAGATCAGGCCATTACAAAAACCCAGGAGCTGGAAAAACACCTTTCTCATTTTACCCAGAGCAGCTGGCAGTGGAGTTATCTTTTACAGTGGTATAAGCAGGAGAGGTGCTTGCATAATTCCATGGTAAAGTGGAAAAAACCTGCCAATCTGTGAAGTTGTGTCTGGCAAACTGATGCTCCTTCAGCTCTTGTGGAAACTATGGAGGGTGGAAAGCAGCAGGATTGGGGCCAGAATTTGGGGGCAGGAGGGGGAGGGAAGAATGAGAAAAAGCAGCCTTGAAATGGGGGAACAGTCTCCTTGAGGAAGAGGAGGGACCATTGGGAGCATAGGAGTAATTTAGTTCTGGGTAGTGTGCTGATGGGATGAGTGTCTGCTGAATAGACGATGAGCTAATAAAGCTAGTTCTTCATGTAATCACTGCAGGGTTTTATATTTGATGTGCTTAGTATTTATCTGGTGCTTTTCTCATAGATCCTGGAGCCTTCACAGAGGCCCTGCTGCATTTGAAACGTGGCTTGGAGGAAGCCAGCCCCTCTCCCCACGTTACTCAAACGTGGATGCTCTTATGGTGGAGCTGGGACCCCTTCACCTGCAGCTGAGCAGGAACCAGCCTCGTACCCAGCCCAGCCCTTAGTGTGTTGCTCTGGCGTGGGAGATGGCAAATGGCATGAGGAAGGGGCTCGCTGGCATGCCAGCACAGGGGTCAGCGGGATCGGAGCCCAGCTCCCACACCAGCCACGCTGCAGGGCTCTTGGCTTTGTGGCAGGGAGCTTTGGCCAGTAAAGTGTGGTACAGGGGCGGTGTGGTCCCCATGGTGCCAGCCAGGTTTGGGAGAGGACCACTGGTGGTGTGTGCATCTGCTTCAGGTCCTGGCAGCACTGGTGTATGTGCAGTGGAGTTATAAATCATCTGTAAAAAGTAAAAGCACATCAAGTTCAAGAGGAAGAGTGAACAGCTGTGGGGAAACTGCAGGTAGGGCTCCTTTTGGAGAGGGAGAAAGTGATCAGCGAGTCAGCATTTGTTCATGTTTTATTTGGATCCATCTGGCACCCTCTTTGGTAAGTGTTATGAACATTGTGAATAACCATCTCTCTCCTCTCCTCCCACCGATCTTTTCTGCAGTGGTTTCTAGCGACAGTGAGAGCGACTCGGAGTTCAGTTCCTCCAGCCTGGATGACAAGCCTTTACCTGTGGGGTCAAAAGGCTCACAAGACAGAAAGCACCAAGCAGGACTGGGTGAGGAGTTGCTATTCCTTGTGGCTGGAGGGTGAGAAGTGTAAAGTGCTTGAATGTTTGGCTCTTGGTACCGTGAGTTTTGGCTCAGCTGCTTGCATGCCCTACGCAGGTGCACCCCACTGGCTTTAGCTGTGCCAGGTGGGGATGTGGTCCTTTCTCACTGGAACAGTATGAGTGGATCAAACTGGTGGCGAGTTGCTCTGTTGCCTGCAGCCTTTCAAGGGCTGGCTCAGGCTGAGAGTTGGGGTGTTTAGCCTGGAGAAGAGAAGGCTCCGGGGAGACCTTAGGGCCCCTTCCAGTCCCTAAAGGGGCTACAGGGAAGCTTGGGAGGGACTTTTTACAAGGGCATGTAGTGACAGGACAAGGGGGAATGGCTTCAAACTGGAAGAGGGTAGGTTTAGATTACATATTAGGAAGAAATTTTTCACTCTGAGGGTGGTGAGCCCCTAGTGCAGGTTGCCCACAGAAGCTGTGGCTGCCCCATCCCTGGAGGTGTTCAAGGCCAGGTTGGACGGGGCTTGGAGCAACCTGGGCTGGTGGGAGGTGTCCCTGCCCAGGGCAGGGGGGTTGAAACTAGCTGATCTTCAAGGTCCCTTCCAACCTAAACCATTCTATGATTCTAAGGTCTGCCCTTGCAGTTGGGAACTGCTCCTGGCCACCTGGCAGCATGTATCTGGTCAGCTCCTCGCTCCTGACTTTATAGCACTGGAATCGCTGGTGCCATTTTAGGAGTAGAGCGCGGGAGCTGGGTTTTGACCATGCCCCTGAGGGTGCCTGGCTGGGAGTAGCCCAGCATCTGCACATGCTTCCTTCCACAGCAGCATCTCTCTGTTGTGTCCCTGCAGCACCCATCGGGGAACCCAACCAGGCCATGGGCAGGGCGCTGGGGAGCACCCACTCCCTTGCCCTCTCAGGGAGCCACAGCAGCCTGGGCAGTGAGCAGGGGGCTGCCCTCAGCGCCACAGAGAGCTGCCAGAGCCCCCAGCCAGTGGATGGGCGCGACAGCGATGGTGGCAGCAGAGTACCTGGTAAGCTGAACCTCTTCTCTGGGCAGATCCGTGCCTTTGGGGCTGACTTCCCTCGAAGCACAGCTTTCTCAGAGGCACACCTGGCAAAGCTGCAGCCTGGGATCACCTTTCCCTGCTGCTTTTCTCATGGCAGATGCTGTCACAGCATTACAACTCACTCCTTCCCTCTTCCCCGCGTGCAGAATCTATTCTGCAACATGAGTAATCGTCTGGGGTGGGAGCTGCCTACACCCACCTCCAAGAGCAGCCGTAGCCTGGGTCTGTCCCCATGCAAAGGCCCGGAGCTCCTACCTGCCCTGCAGAGGCAGCAGAACAGATTGAGCTTTTACTGAAGCAAAGCAGAATTCCAGCAGCTTTATGAAACTGAATAAAAATTTTCCTAATGTTAGATGGCTCTTAAAGCCAAGCATGGCTCTTCCCAGAACTCTGCATTACAAAAAAAAAAAAAAAAAAAAAAAAAAAAAAAAAAAAAAAAGAAAAAAGAAAAAGACACTTTTTCCCCCTCAACAACCTTGGAACAATTAAGTGACTGTGAGCAGAGGCTGCTATCACATCTGATCTGGAGCAGCTGAAAGAGATGCAAATGTGTTCTCTCTGCGGTTCCTGCTAATCTATTCAATAACCCCTTAAGTTATCGTTTAGCGCCGCACCCTCCGTAGCGCTCCTGCCGCCCTGTGAACTGCCACTCCTTTTGTTCCTGAGCCTGTTTTGTGCTGTGCATGCTGAGGCGTAAATTGGATTAGAGAGAGCAGGTTTATCCTTTAGTGCAATATAGAGTCATAGTCCCCCTCCCCACGCTTCCCGCTAGAAATAACCAGCATAAAATTGTTTCTCTGCTCTTCCCTCCCTCCCCAAGTTTCAGACATTTGGAGTTTTCTTTAATTTTAGTTTTTGCAAAGCAAATCAGATGAGTGATACTTCTGCTCTGTCCGTCCTCTCTCTGGATTATAGTGCTGCCCCAGACGGGGTTTATTTTAAGCCCCTGTTGGCTGTGGCATTAGAGGCAGCTGATTCCCGTTGTGTGTTGGCTCTGCAACCTGCTGGAGCCGAGCAGCAGGTTGTTCTGCGGGATTGAATCGGGTGTTGGTGGATAGCGGGTGTGACCCCTTGGATGCTTTTTCTGCTGGTGCTGCATGGCTGTGCTGAAATCTGGATGGACGCACACCTGGGCAGTGTGTTTGTACAGCACTTAGCACTTTGAAGCTTTCCTGCCAGCTGTTCCAACTTACTGCTGCGAGGCTATGACAGTGCAAACAATACCTCACAGACAGAAAATGCCCTTTTCCTGCCAAAAAGCTTGTATGCAAAGCTTGGCACAAGGGGTCAATGCTTTCCAGTGGGATCTCTCCTTGCTAGAAGAGGGAGAAATAAAAATGACAGGCAGCATGGACATATATTTAAAAAATGAAAACTATAGCAATCTCATGAGCCCAGTTAAAATAGTCCCCGAGATGTAGAGAGGATCCTGCTAAGGAAAAGGTTAAGCCAGGTTGGCTGACTAGAGAATATCTGTAAAGATCTTTATTATGTCTGGGGTCATTTATTTCCCAGTCTTCCTGCAGAAGGGGCTGATTTGTTCAGACCTGGTGCTTGCAGCAGTGAGTGCCTTGGTAGGAGGCTTCCGTGTCCCCTAGAGCTGGGGGAGGGAGGCAGAGAGACTGCTGCTGTGAGTTTTTCTGTTCGTGTGTGCTGGGAGGGGGGGATGAAGCTGGTGGTGTTTGCAGTGGACAGGCACGGGCTTGGGAACTGGTGGAGGGTGGTAGCAAGTAGCGTTCTCCGTGTTGTGTCACATCAGGGAACCAGCCACCAGCTGAGCATCCTCCTGGGCCAGGGAGCTGCTACAGGCTCACAGGGAGTTAGATGGCACTGTGGCCGCAGGAGGTGGCAGGATGGGCTACAGAGCGCCTGGCCTGTCTTCGAGCTTGTCTTCTGCCAGCAGGAGATCTCACACTCCTTTCTGCAAGATGAGGGCTGGTGTGGCAGAGTTCAAGACTTTACCAAAGGTCTCTGCGAGGAGGTGAAGCTGGAACCTGAGCATGTTGTGGGAGGCACATGATGTGCCCATGTGGTGTTCGCCACAGCTGTGTGCTCTGTCCCACACTGTGGGTCATCTTCAGCACTTCGAGGTGGGGAGGAGAGAGGGAAAGTGAGTTTGTTTTCCCTCCAATGTGTTTGGGATGTGGTCTTGCCTCCATGCAGCGAGTAAGCAGCAGGGGTAAGCGGGGTCAGCGTTCCTTTACTCTGAGAGCACAACATGCCCAGCTGGAGAGATGCTGCTGCGATGTGATCTGTGCAGTGAACTATTGGCAATCACAATCCGTTGCATATGAATTTGGTAATCAGCATTACGCAGTGATGCAACTTGCATGGCCTTATGCTCTGTGCAGCTCTGTAGCAGGCGGTTTGAGCAGATCAGACATCCAGGAGGCTGCAATACTGAATGCCCCCATGCTTTGCCAGCAGCCTGGCAAGAGCAGAAAATAAAGAGAAGAGCAGAACCACCACTGTAGTCCCCTATGAAGTGTCCTGCTCTGCAGAGGGGTTCACGTGCTCTGGGATGCTGGAGGTCTGGGACGTGTAAATGCTGGGAGCCTCGGGGCAGGTGGCAGTGCCTCTTCCTATCTTTAGATCAGAGCTTCGTCTTTCTGGGGCTTTTTGTGATGGGTACCTCTGGATGCCACTGTTTGCCAAAAAAAAAAGCAGAGGCTGCTCTTCCTGTTCATCTCGCTAGAGAGTGGTGGAGGTGATGAATGCTGTGTGTCAAGACTGGAAAAACTCTTTGCTGCATGCATCTCCCTGCTTGTGGGACAGTCTCTGTGCTCCGCTCTGACCCAAAAGTAGAGCAAGGGGCAAAGATCCGTTCTCATTTAAACTGCTGATCCTCAGCTGCAGAATGCGGGCATTAAAGGGAGATTTTGTTGTAGCTTTTCTGAAAGGCTCTGCAACTTTGTAACACTGTGTTGGGAGCAATTTTTGCTCATATTAGCACCTCAGGTGTTGTTCTACCAGTGACTTTCTTTTCGCTTTTTCTCACCTCTGCTCTAATTCCGCTCTCAAGTGCAACTTTGCAGAACACTTTAGCATTCTTAAATCCCAGGCCACAGCCAGAACAGGGGTTTACAGAGTGGTACTGCAAATGCAGCTGCTCTCATAGTCCTTAGCTCTTTAAACCTGAAGACCAAGACAACAGCATGGTCGTGTGGCCAAGGGAAAACAAGGAGCTGTTAAGAAGAGTTTGCAGGTTTCCAGTGTGTTGCTCCAGCTCCGGCTGGGGTTTGGTGAGGCAGATAATGAAGCCTGGGGTTTGTCATAAAATGACTCATTGTCAGAGCTGCGTTGGGATTTAGGCAACCTCAGCCCATGAGCCAAAGTTGCGGAAGAGAGTGGTGAGTCGAGAGGCTGCCAATTTTTTTTTATTATTTTTTTTACCACCTGCTTTCAAACCTTTTCAAAAGCATCATTTTTTGAAGGCCTGGTGTTTCTTCTTCTTCTGAAGCTCCAGTTCCTGGAGGTGCCCGCTCTGACATGATAGCTGTTAAGAGGAAGGTCATGCGCTGGTTTTCCCGGAGAATGTTTTAGCCGAAAGAGAACAAAATTTTCACACAGGAAAGAAGCCCAGTCTTTCTTTTTCCCCTTACTTGCCCGCAGCTAGGGAGGTGACTCACCTTATTCTGGCTGCACAGCTGATATGTTAAGAGGTGCCTCAGTTAAAAAAGAGCAAAATCCTTAATCATGACATATTTATTAAAGAAAGGGAATATTAAACAGAATTAAACAAAGAAATCATCAATATCTTACAGTGGTTTTCATTAGCCCGTGGAGAGCTTTTAACAGAGATAACATCTTTGAGCTTGGACCTGGCCGCTGCAGGGGGTAAATTAAGAGCAAAAGGCATTTCTTCTCAGCTTGGTAGCAAGTTCTGTTTTGGTGGATCTCAGTTAATGGGGTCCTCCATGTCTTCTGAGGACCTTGTCTGAGGAATGGGTCAATCGTGTTTGGCATTCTGTGGGTCACCTGAACTGCTTGCTGGCAGGACATGGTGAGTGAGCTTGGCACGGGCTGTGGGGCCAGAGAAGGCTCTAATTTGTGCTTAAAAGAGGAGGTTTGAGAAACAGCCACAAGATAAGCTAACAAATGAGTAGCATACTTCTGAGTGCAAATCACAGTCTCCCCCTCTCTGCTTGTTTGCCAGTGTGTTGTTTAAATCATTAATACTTAAAGAGCGGTACAGCAGCTGGCAGTTAAACAGAGCCACGTTAAACAGTGGTGGTGCTGAGTCTGGGAGCTGAGGCAATGATGGCAGCGCCTGGTGGGGTATAAGAAACATTGTGGCTTGCAGTCGCAGGGTGACGCTGGCTGGAAGGACCTCCAGAGGTCCGCAGGTCCAACCTGAGCCCTTCTCCCAGGGTGCTGAAGCTGCAGCTTCTGGATACCTCCCTTTGGCTGCTTGCTTTGTAGCTGTCATGCTGGGAGAGGCTGAGCAGAGCTGAGAAAAGGACCTGGAGCTGAGAGAGATGGGCAGGAAATGCTGCTTCCAGCTCTCCTAATTTGGGGAGATTTATGCCCTGTCTTTCAGGAATTGACTGGATTTAGAAATGAGGTGGTGTCGCTCTCTCTGTGGCTCAGTGCCTCCCCAGCTGGGCTAGACATCAACTTTTGCTCATAAATATTCAAGCTGTTAATACATGAGACAAGCAGAGCCATTCTGCATTATTTTCATGGCAGGAAATTCTCAGGCCATCTTTGAAGTTAAAGCATTAACATTTATTTTTTTCTTCCCTTCTGTTTCTCAGATGTCTCTTTTGCTCCCTCAGGGATGATGAGGAGGTAACATTTTGCTTCAGTGGGTCTAACTACTCCATTCTATGTAGGAAGAAAAAAAGTTGTCCTAACAGTAATTAGGCTCTAAATGGGATAGTAATTTCTTTAATGACTTTCTTCATGGCAGTCTTTGGGGAGGTGACTTTTGTTTTCCTGTGCTTGGTGAGAAAGTTACTTAAATGTTTTCCAGCTGCTCATTCCCTTGTCCTTTGCTGAGCTACAGCAAAACAGTGTAGTCTTCCCAGGCTGGTGTTGCAGCAGGGCAGAATAGGTGGACAACCACACGAGAGAGCTGTGCTCACAACCCCTGCTCTTCCTGCCTCTGCCTTCGGCCTCTGCCTGCACTGAGGGCACAGGATAAGAAGGAAAGAGGGGGTCAGATGTGGAGGAGAGACCCTCACCCTCAGCCAGCCTCTCTGCTCCAAGCCTCTGCCTCTTGCACTAGCTGCCTCATCAATCTTTGGGCACTGCTGTTTGCCCCCCTTTGCTCAAAGCTTCCTGCCCACAGGGTTGAGTTTTCCTGATTCCAAGGAGGTTGAGTTGTCCCTCTTCCACAAAGTGAATTATGCCTTCATGGCTGAGAAGTTTTGAGCCATCTCTGCCTCCTCGTATTGGTGGTGCTGAGCACCGAATAGTCCTGCTGTATTTACAGATAAAACATGTCTTTGAGTAGTGACAGCATTAGGAAATGATTGAAGGCTTGCATTTGTAAATATGAACTTCAGAAGAAGTATATGCCCCCTTCCATGTTTTAAGGAATTAAAATATTTTCGTCCTCAAGTGGTAGAACCAAAACATTTGCAGCTCTTTTGAGTCTGCCTTGAAGTTAAGTGAATAAAGGCTCGAATACCTAAAGAATAAATTACTTTCACTATTTCTGTAATTCTTTATGGAGTTTTAAATTGAAGACTTTTTCCTTGAAAATAGAGGCATGACAAAGACTCATTCTCTTCCCTCTTTCACTCAATATATCTGGAAACAAGTCTGCCGCTGAAGATGAAACTCCTATTTTTGTGCCTCCTTTCACATTGCAGAGGTCTGTGCTTTGGTCTTTGATCAAACGGCCTGTCTGGCCTCCTGCCCCCACGTCCTTAGACTTATTTTCTACCCTTTGCAATACGTTAATTCCTCGCACTTCCAACTTTCTATTCAGCATTTTGCACAAAGCACTGAGAGCAATAGTTGATGTAATCTTTCAAAACAAAGTGTAAAGGAAAGAACATGGGAAGTCAGTAATATAGAAGTTAAAAGTCTGGATTTTGGAGTCTTTGTAAACACATTGAGAGGTTTTACAGCTTGGGAGGCTATCTTTCAACTGGGATGTCGGTCAATAGCTGGTGGGAAGAATTTGCAGGACTCCCTGTGCCTTGAACAGCAGTGACTAGAAACATCCCCTGTCCTTTCTCCAGGAGTCAACATAATTTGTGCACCCTTCAATTCAGAGAAGGGGAAAGAAGTTAGTATTGGCCCGCCACTGCCTTAGGGTTCTCCACATTTCCAGCCCCGCATTTCACTCCATGCGCTGGAATCAGTGTGTCCCAGCAGACCCTGAGTTTCCCCAGGGGCTGCTGAAGTGATCAGCTGAGGTTTGTTTAGTCAACATGAGCCATAGTGCCTTCTGCAGCAGAGCACTGTTGCCCTGCGTCCGTCTCCAGCCATGGGCAAGGGCTACATTCTGCCGTGGCTCCTGTCCACAGCCCAGGCACACGGAGGGCACGAGGGTCATGTGGAGGACCTGCTCTGTGGCATGTAGATGCTGTCACCTGGTTTGGAAACCTCTGAGAACTGAGGCATGGCTTTTTTCTGACTTTGCCGTTTGAGGGAAGCATGTACAGGAGGACCAGTTCTATCAGTACAACTCCTTCTTTCTCCTTCTTTCTGTTTCTTTCTCCTGTCTTTTCTTTCTTTAATGAAGTTTAATGGGCCCTGACTGCTGACAGAGTGTGGAGTAATGATGCACAGACGTTCTCTTCATTATTATTTTTAGGAAGCTCTTAAAATGGCACTGAGCATGTAAAAGCAATGTAAACTAACTTTGTCTAGTCTCTCCACTCCTTTCCAAACAAAAATTTTGTCTTTATATATTTTGAAGGCAAACGGTGCGTCCACACGAGAACACGATGCTGATGGAGGTGATGATAGAGCTGCTTTGCCTGGATCCAGCGCTCGCCCCTTGCCCGCTCCTGTACACCTCACTCCAGACAACAACTGCTGCCAGTGGTGACTTTATGATGCCAGCTCTTGAACAGGCATTAGCAACGCAATGGCACCTGGGAAAGCACCTGCCTGTCCTCCCTGCCTCACTGACCTGGTTTATGTTTTGGTCTGGTTCCCTCTTCTGCTGACTGACACGCACTTTGGGGTGCTGCTCAGAGAGGGGTGCCATGCTGTGAGGCTCTGCCATGGGGTCCAGACCTGTGTTTGTTGGACAGGGCACACAAAGAGTTCACTGGAGCTGAAGAAATGTGTGCTGCCTGCTGCTGTTCCTGGCCTGCCAAGCCCAGCCCTGCGTTCAGCTCCTGTCTTTGCAGTCTTCAGGAGAAAGGGAAGTTCACTCCTGTGTCCCTTAAATGGGGTGTGAGGAGACTGCAGCCTTTCTACTGCAGCCCAGGGGTGGATTTCCCTCTGTGAACCCCGAGGGTGAGACTGGGGCTCCCATTTGCACTTGACTCCCATGGGCCCAGGGTGTCACCCCTTGTATTTGTCATCATTGTTCTGGTTTGAGTTGGTATGAGTTTGGTGGGGGCATCCTGGATCAGCTGGTGACGTTGTGCTCCCGTTCACTTTCACTGAGGTCTTTCTCTGCCATAGGGCTGTCTGCTCTGGGAGACACTTTAATTAGTTAAGAAACACTCAAAGAAGTTTGTTATGAATTTTTCAGTCCTCCTGGCTGTATACTGTCCTGTGGTGAGGGTGATGTGGGGTGATGAGGGTGATGAGGGCAGTGGGGTCATTGGCAGTGTGTGTGTGCTACAACTCCTGGTGGGAGAATGTCCACCTCCCCACGGCCCAGCTGGCTCCCTTTGCGTATCCAAATCGGATAAAAACTTTCATACTGCTTTATCTTGTTAAGCTCTGCAGGTTCTCCTCTCACATGCACACCTTGTCAGCTCTTCCATGAGCAGGGGCCTTTGTTTTACCTTTTTCTTCCAAGTCTTGGGCATCTGGCTGACAGTGATGGTGTCATCATGAGTCAGGCTGTAGAGAGCTGCGTGCCCTGCTCCTGCTTATTCTCCAGGATGGACAACTTCCCTCCGAGGCCTGAGAGATGAGAAAAATCAAATTATCTGACATCTCTAGAGCCATTAGATCTTTGAGGGCCTGAACAAAACCCACAGTAGGCAAGATTTTTATTAAATGCTTTGGATTTGACCTGTCTTTTGCTGAAGAAACAGTATTGCTGAAGTATTCCAAAAATTTCCCTCTGAAATAATGGATTTAAAGGCAATTTCTGCCTGTTAATGTCAGCCTTTTCCCTTGGTTATTACTCTTTCATTCTGTTCTCCTTTGCTGCTGGGCACTTTGTGCGCATGTAGTATATGGTCTTACAAATGGCTGCAGTATGAAGATAAATGAGATTGGGTGCTGGAACACTCTAACAGGAGATCGGAAATCAATCCTTGACTTTCTTTCTAAATGAACATGGTCCAACAGAGGACCGTTCCCTTACTGCTATTCCAGCTAATACGCTATGGCACGTTGCTGGGAAAATCCTTCCAGCTCTGCCTCCGTGATCTGTTTCTGCCCTTTTAAAAATGAAAACAAAACCTTTGTATGATGTGGGCTCTTTGAAATGGCATAAAGTGAAACCACTGAACATGGGCTTCCCAGCATCGGTGCTGAAGAGAGCAAGGGATGATGTTGTTCTCCACTGAGGGATGCTTTGTGTTGTGGTCTGTGTCCAGACCATTGAGACTCGACCACCTGCATCTCTGAAAGGGGTAATGCCAAAATTGTTAACTGTTTCTGAAAAAAGTAAATCCAAAAGTCAGCTTTTGCTGAAATGCCGGTATGTTTTCAGAGCTGAAGTCATGCTGTTTCTTCTGAGATCTGTAGGGTCTTCAATTGCTGAAGTGTTTTGCCATCAAAAAAAGTCCTGTTTTGCCTTGGAGCTTTTGACAATCCTACTGAGGCTGTCTTGCTTGCGCTGTCATTACCGCTGTGCCTCAGACAGCCTGGCCTGCCAGCCTAAGTTAATTCTATAGAAGAAGGAGAAGGAAAAAGACATTTAAAAATTGACTCCATTTTCTTTAAACCTGTTACTTTCTCATCAAAAACTCTGCACTGACTTGGAAAGAGTTTTTAAAATTGAGCATGTCATTTCTAACTCTTCTTGTGTTTCTTGTGCTTCATTCCCAGGCAGTGCAGGCAGGTCAGACGTGTTTTCACCCCGACCCTCACTTCTTAGGGCCGTTTACCACACTGTGAGTTGCCAGGTCTGCACAGGAACCTGGTAATCCTTGCTGGCTGACTGCCGCTTTAAGGCATGAGTTCAATTTTTAACTGAGACTAGATTTTATAAAACACACTGAGATAAATTTGGGACTGCTCTTATACCAGTGAGACTGGAAACCTTTCTTTCTTACCTCTATATTTTACCTCCATGGAGTAATTCCACCTGAGTTTGAACCAGAAGCATTCAGTCATCTATGGAAAGACTCCTCTTGGATCGAGGGAAGGATCTAGCCCAGAAGAATGTGATCACCCACGTATGAATGTGATAGAGGAACATCCACAGCTCTGTGCACATATTTTCTGTTAAAGACCCCTTTTCTCTTTGTTGCATCTCTCTTGGTTGTGTTTTGTAGCTTTGGTTGGAATATTACCCGAAACCTGTACTAGTTGACTGCCTTTCTCGTTGGCTTAAAGTGGGCGAGAAAGGCTCAGTGAATAGTGCTCAGTCTGCTGTGGTCGTTTGTGTTTCTTTTATTATTTTGTTGTTCTCGTCTCCATCCCTTACAACTTCTATGTAGTGTTTTACTACTGGAAACAATAAAGCTTTGGCTCAGTAACAAACGCTTGCCATTCTTGAAACAGTAAAAAGTTTTTTTCCATTCCCAGGTTGCAGATACTCTCCAAATTGTTGGGCTGGGTCCAGCGAGGAAAGAAAATAATCCAGCCAGTGGAATGGTGATTCACGCGGCTGGAGCGTAATTGAATTCTGCACTTGAAACTCATCTTTTGTCTTGCCCCTCTTTGGTACCTTGTGCTGGTGATGACAGGGGGCACAGATCTGCTCCTCAGCCCCTCTGTGGAAGGTTTTCCATGTTGTAACCACTAAGCATAAAGCCATACTGCTTGTCATTCTGTCAAGTGCTGTCTCCACGTCCTCCAAAGGCTTGTCACTCTCTCTGGTTTGACAATTGGGGTCCATTTAGCTTTGCCTACAGAGAAGCGTCTATGCATTGTTCGCCAAGCGTGTGCAGCCCTGGCTGATCTGTGTTCCTTTCCACGTGGCATTCAGCTTCAAGGTTTCAAATGGCTTTTTAATCTGTTTTTGCGTTTCCCATTTTAAAAGCGCCTTGATAATTGCTGTTGGGATTGTTTTGCTGGGGAGCTGCCATTAGTCCAAGGATGAAGCGTGTCAAGGACTAACCACCTCTTACGTTGTTCCTTCCCCCCTCCGCTTGCCATGACAACAACCAATATATGGGAAAGTCAACTGCGGGATCTCTGAATCAGAAACACTGGCCATGGATTGCGAAGTTTCCATGTTTGCTTTTTATAGTTATAGTTTGAGGGGAAAGTGGATGCTTTCCCGGTGGGAACCATGCATATTAGTTCAACGTAGCTGAAGCAAATGGTCTACCAGCTGGTGTTCAGACAATGTGTTTCTGGCCATTACTGAATTGGACAGGGAGGGCCCTGGACTATCAGCTGGAGTGCTTGGACAGTGACACAAAATGGCAGATAATCTCTGCAGATGGCTGAAGTTCATTTGTAAAATAAAACTTAGCAGCAGTTCCTCTTCTTTCCTCCTCCCCATCCCCCCCCCCCGAAAGATGTTTCCTTCCAGGGGAGAGGGCTGGTGGCAGTGATGTCTCACCAGCCCAACTCTCCCATTTCTTCCTGCCACCACTCCCATCACTTTATTCCTCTCTGCTATGGAGACTGATCTTCAGATCATAATGCCTTGTTTCCTCAGGTGTGTGTGATTCAAGGAGAGTTCAGGGAAGTTTTTTTGAAGGGCTGATGCTGCAATGAAATAATGAGACTTTCAGCAGGCACAAGGTGGCAAGTGAGAGGTAAGCATCTTGTGGAAAACTTTTATCTTGAGCTGCTTGTTCAAATTCCTTCCTGACCATTGCCTCTTATTAGCAGTAAATTCAGGTAGTGCTAGAAATGCCAGCAATGCTTGAGAGGCACGAGATGAGGATTTTGCCATGTAGCTCCATGGCAGTGCAGAGACAGGAACACGATGCATGCTGCCTGCCAGTGATGTGTGGCAGCCACACAGGCAGTCACACACATCCTCGTACACCCCTGCCCTGCACCTCTCTCCTTGCAGAAGTATTTCCTCTCGTTATCTTCATAGCAAAACACGAAGGGAGCCAGGCCAGCCCCACGGCTGGCGTAGCACGCTGCTGCTGGCCTGTGCCCCGCTGCCGAACAGTCCCTGGAGATGTCTGTGCAGCACCCGAAGATGCTGCTCTGACCGGTGCCTGGGAGCTGCACCTTTGAGGGATGAATTCAAATCCCCTCGACGTGGAGGGCTGTACACGTTCACCTCCACGCTTTGCAGAGGTTCTGTGGGTTTGTTTGAAGGCATCTGTTGTGTTTCTTTTTCCTTCCACTGATTTCTGTCTGGCACTGGAAGCTGTTTGTAAAATCTTGGAGGGATTATTGCTCTTGTTTTCCCTCTCTGGAATGAGTGGCTCTGCATGATGTGTTCATATTTTACCAGGAAGGATGGATTGTGGTTTTGAAGTATTTTCGTTGTGGACTGTATCAGTTTAACAGCAACTGTTACGCTCTGATCCCTCTCTCAGCCCTCAGCTATATGCCATTCCCTTCCCAGGTGCTTCCCTGTTACCCTGTAGTTGACCAAATGCAGCAAACAGACATCACCACCTCCCTTTCTCATCAACTCTCCTACCAGCCTAATCACTGTAAGTAGTTATTATCTG